CTAAAAACCGGCCAAGGCGTTCTAAAAAATGAAGGCTCTGCGCCAAAGTGGCTCCTGAAAATTGCCTTCTAAAAATTTGAATTTTCAAATTAGGTGATTATTCGAAATTTTTAGGACTACAAGTGAAAGCTTTTTCTATTCTTCATGATTTCATCCTTTGGGCTTTTGTCTTCCCCAAGTTACAGCTACTTAGGTACTAGTTCTGTTACGAAAACATCTTGCGTCTAACTTTTTCACTAAACGCGCCGTAATATATAGGCAAAAAGTCAATTTGGCCCCTAAAAAATCTTCATTGGCGCCTAAATATTGGGCTTGATGCGCCACATGGCTCCTAAAACTTAAATGTGAGTTTCGAACACTGAACCTGAAAGTAATAAATCTCCGAGCAATGGAAAGATGTTGTTCCAAAACCACGTAACGCTATTGGAGAAGGAGAGAGAAGGGTCTGAGCTTACGTTACAAGTGCGTTCTGATGGGAGGGGGGATAAAAAAATTGGAATTTCAGCGTGACGTATTTTAGGGAAGTGGATGAAAAAAAAATTGGATGCGATTGAAGATAGAAAACCCAAAAGTAATAAATTCCTGAACAATGTGGGAAGATGTTGTCCTGAAAATACGTAACGCTCTTGAGGAAGGAAGAATGATGGTCTGCGCATACGTTACAAGTGCGTTCTGATGGGAGGGGGGATATAAAAATCGGAATTTCAGCGTGACGTACTTTAGAGAAGTGGAAGAAAAAAAAATGGGTGCTATTAAAGATAGAGAACCCAAAAGTAATACATTTCTGAACAATGTGGGAAGATGTTGTCCTGAAAATACATAACGTTCTTGAGGATGGAGGGATGAGGGTCTGCGCTGACGTTACGAGTTTGTTCTGAGGGGAGGGGGCAGAACAAATCAGAGTTTCAGTGTAACGCATTTCATGAAGAACGCCTCTAAAATCTGATCGGAGCGAAAATTTTGGGAAAATCATCTATGGACAGTTCCTGCTTCTGAAAAACAATGTTCCTTTCGGCATTAAATATCGACGGTGAAACTACCAGACCACGGATCTCGTTTGCGGTGTTAAAAAATTTCTGCTCCCATTTTATTTTTATTTACGGAGAAAAAGTCAATTACATTCCTTGAGGTTTTCATAGAGTTTTCTTCGCAAGGAGAAGAATGATTGTTGAAGTTTTCAAAAATTGACGTTGAGTGGTTCTCTACGTAAAAAATAAAGTAAGACAGGAGGTCTATAACGTCACAAGCTAAGGTACGTGGTCTAGTAGTTTCACCGTCGACATTCAGTATCTCGCGGTGACGTTTTATGACTGAAACTTCGGATGGATCGAAATAGACACAAAAAGACTCGTAAAAGTTATTCATAACGCTATTTATAGCCTCAAGCTTTCAATATGTCCCAGAAAACAACCTCTACATAGTAGCAGTTATCTATTCGAAAATTTTTGTCTCAAATTAATATCATCCATTCAGTTTGATAGCGCGTCGAACAACAGATTCATCTTCGTAGAGGACCTTTTGATGTGATTTGTTACCTTCGTAAAATTATATCTGACGTGGCCGCCTCTTGTCGAGGAAATAGAGCGGAGGAAAGGAAGCGCGTTGATGACGGCGCGGAGATACAACTATTCGTACTTGATGGATGTCCGTGTTGCGTGTGCAAAATTGAAGGCGCGATGGCGCGAGGCGTGAAGTTGTGAACTAATAATGCTCCGCTCTACGCTAAGTGAGGTTCGCTCACATTGGGCAGAAGAAAAAAGTTATAAACCGAGACCGGATTACGTCTCTGCTCCCATCTTCGGCTGTATTGCTCACGTGGTCCTTGAAGCATCAGTACAAATAAGGCAAATGAGAACAATTATAATACGGAAATAGAGGAAAGAAAAGGACGCGTGTCGATGATGACACAGAGGATCAACTATTCGTACTAGCCGGATGCCTGTGTTAGACTGATCTGCTCTATGCTACAAGTATTCTAAAAAAAACTCGCTCTCCAGTAAATTAAGCCAACTTCAATCCAACGAGTTTGATACTGACTTGATCGTAAAAAAATGTTATTTGTTCTATTGTAAAACTAGCACTATTTTGAAACCTTACATTACTCCACACTCTTATTTCTAAAGAAGAATTGAAACCTTTTTTATAAATCTTGTTAATAATAGCCCCAATCGGAGCGATACCTCACTAGCACTGTAGCAGCGGAGCAGTGAGAGATCTTGCCTCACGCCATCGCGCCTTCAATTTTGCACACGCTACATGGACATCCATCGAGTACGAATAGTTGTATCTCTGCGCCGCATCAACAAGATTCCTAGCTCTTGCTTTATTTCCGTAACACATGAAGAGTTCGCTAGATATAATATTACGAATGGAACGCAGCATATTAAAATAGCCTTTCCTAAAACTCAATGCTCAGAGCCTCAGGGTTCATTTCGGAGGACAACAGGGTTATTGGTGCAAACTTTCAATGCTAATTTCTACATATTTTCGGTTACTGTTTTGCAAAAATAGCGTATTAAAAATGCTACAAAAGTATCTTCATCAGTACTGCCTGACTATTTGGTACTAACGCTGTGCCCCCAGTCATTTTCGCGAGTGGGTATCACTTCAGCACACGCAAAAAATAGTCGGTGCTGATGACAGAACCCTCTGTTCACAGGGCTCCTGCACTTTTTTTGTTATACTTACAAAACTTTTCCATGGTGAGAACAGAACTTCGGTCGCGAGCACAGAGTGCTCTGTCCCCATAACGGAAACTTCTGCGGCTGTAATAAAGAAAGTGCAGGAGCCCTATGAACGCAACTATTTTTTTCAATGTACAAATATTAAAGGAAGTGAAAAAAAGTGAGCAAATCTGGATATACTACAAGGATCTTCAGCGAAGCTGTGGCTTTAAAACTGAATAACCTTTTCCTGGAGGAGATTGTGAGGTGTGTTCCTCTACACAGCCGCTCATAGGCATGCCCCGCTAGAGGCTGTCAAGGATAATCTGGAGCAGTTATTTTGGCCTCTGACGAATGAATTGCGATAAAAAAGGTTGCGATAACATTATCGAGCATGTGGGTTGCGCGATTTTCACCCCCGTGCTGCGCGGCAAAGAAAACGCGGTTACAGCGAACAATCCCGCCCTCCAGTGGCGTGGCGTGCTTAGCGATATATCGATTGTTATGCCATTTAAACCTATGGAAAAGGATCGATAAACAGGGTGTCCGCAGCGAACACCTTAATAATCGATTTTATACCATAGGTTTAAATGGCGTAACAATCGATACATCGCAATTCACGCCACGCTACTGCCGCCCTCCCGCTCCCGTTAAACTCGACAGACAAAGCAAAGTTGATTTTTCCTGCGGAGGCGCGAAGCGTTTGACTCTCTCCTACATTTTATTTATTGCCTTTTTATTCATCGCCGAGCCGCACCCACCCTCATCGCTGATTTTTCTCCGCCCCCAGTTTAGCGGACGTCATCGCGCGGAGATAACCCATTTTAAACGCGTCTCTCTTTTTCAGTGGAACATCTGAAAATTCCTCTATTTTCCTCTGAAACGCTTAATTTCCTCAAACAAGAGCTAGAAAGTGACTGAGGTAAGGAATCGTCACCTTTCGGCCAAAGTATCACAAACGCCATGCGACGTTTAAAAATTTACGCGGCCATTTTAATTTTTACAGAGAAATTTTTTGTTGAATCTGTTTGAAAATTTCACTGAATTTTATAGGCAGCACGGAGAAAATTCAGTGAAATTTTCAAACAGTTTCGTTGAATAATTTCTCCGCGAAAAAGTAAAATGGCGGCGAAAATTTTAAGTCCCATAGTGATGGTTTCAGGGCATTCCGTCAACGATTTTTTGTCCGCACATCTGTTTTGCCCAGTAGTTTACGTCCACGCGTGAAATAAACGACAGTGACTTGGTCCAAGTGTCATATTTTAGTCCGTATGTAAAATTATATTGACAATATCGAAATGAGAAAATTGAGAGAGACGGAAGAGTTGTTGTGGTAACTCATTTTTTAAATGAAATGTTATTTCTATCTCCTTCTTTTGATCAATCTTTTTAAATTGTCATGAGTGAATATTTGGTTTTATTTCCATCCTTAAAATTTTCGATGAAAAATAAACCTGATAAATACTTTTTTTTTAAATGGAAATATTACTTTATTTTAAAAACATTTACATTTTTAACACGTGGAAAATATTTGTAAAACTTTTTCCAAGTGATGGCATCGATATTAAAGTCAATGAGCAGTAGTTGTGTCGAAACAAACTATGCACAAATGAATAAAAGAGGGAAAAAACCGAGAAGCACGTAATCTTTGGTTTTAGCTCATTTGTACATCGATCTTTCAGAGTCAAATACGTCCTATTTTGAGCGTTTGGTTGCTCTCACACCACGCTGCAGCACAGTAAAAGCACAAAATATAAATGAAAAAATTAATGTTCTTTGAAAATCAATCAATACAACAAGGAAACACCTTAATATTTACAAAACACACATTAAATTTTCCTTTCATGTATATATATTTTGTTAAAAATTTAACTTAAAGTAATCCATGCAGAGTTTGCAAACATATCAAAATCATGAGTTGAAAAACGCTGACTCTGCGAGTTTAAATAATAGGCCCTAGCATAAAGCGGAGTGATGCGACGTATGCTGCCAGCACGAAACGCGCACTGGCGCCTACAAACCTAAGCAGATACTTCACGCATTGCGCAATGCTTGAGGTATCCCTTAGGTTTGTAGGGGCCAATGCGCGTTCCGTGCTGGCTGGCTGGCCGCGCCGCCGCGGCGTGCGGTCCACCAGGAACTCTCGACCGAGATAATTTCCCCATGAAACTTTCATTTCTTTCGAGAAATTGCAAACATGTATTTGTCAAATTATGAAGTGAATTAGCTTCAGCACCAGGTTTTAAATGTGCCAAACCCTCATTAACATCATTATTTTGCCTTATTTGTTGTTTTATTGAAAAGCGCTAAATTTAAAATTTATATTCTGTGTTTCAGGTGCTTGTTACGCTGAGTTCGGGGTACGAGTTCCGCACACAACAGGCTCGGCATATATGTATAGTTATGTAACTGTAGGTGAATTCATTGCATTCGTAATTGGTTGGAATATGATATTAGAGTATTTAATTGGAACCTCAGCATGTGCCTGTGCTTTGAGCGCTTGTTTTGACGCCCTCACGAGTGGCGCCATTAGTAAAACGGTAGCCAGTGTAACGGGAACCATATTCGGTGAGTATTTTTTCTCTTCATCGATCACTATATTCCCTCCTTCTACTTCCTTTTTCCAAGGTCTGGATCCTAAAACTCAAAGGTGAGTTTCGAACACTGTGGTGCGATGCCTTCATAGAGAGAGTTGAGAATTATGATGTCCTGAGCCGCTCACAAAGATTACACGTTTCGTCGGGTTTTCCGTATCTTTGATCATCATACTTATACAGAGTGATCCAGAGCTAAACGGCCAGACTGCAGGAGCCAAAACACCCCCAATCCCCCCCCCCCTTTAAATTGGGATTTCGATTTTTTTTTTTAGATCATTTATGAATTCAGGGCATAAAAGTACAGGAAAGTACTATCATGAGATTTGGTTCACAACCGTTGCCAAAATTCATGAAAAACTATTTACTTTCCGAAATCTTGAGGGCCATAGCTCCGACTGGGGGAAGTTTTGGAAAAAACTTTTACACAGCAAAAAAGTCTCATTCTGACCCATAGAACACGCTTCTATGATTTAACCGTTTAACCCCGGATTACCCTGTATATTACACCTCTTTCCTCCCATCATAATGTCTGCTAGGTAGGGAACTTGCTTCATGCATATCTTTAGAAGGCATCTTAGAAAATTGTAGAGGCCAGACTGAGATATACTATTTAAAACCTATTGTAAGGACTTGATTGAAGAGGGCGTCTTTTATTTATGGGATCGGAACGAGACACGTTACAATAAATATTTATGTGAATGAAAACAGTCGTCTGAAAAACTTAACTATCACTTACCTACTTTCATTTGTCGTGCACAGAATTGTAAGAAAAACTTCGCCCCCGAGTGACTGAGCCGTCTGATAGAGCACGGGCGACTGACTAGGTAGGGCGGAGACTATTTTTAACAATCGTATGCACGACAAAAGAAGTAAGTGATAGTTACAGTTCTTCAGGCGACAATTTTCCTTCAATTACTTGTATGGCTTTTAAATAAACTCAATTTCTTTGAAATAAGCACATACTTCTTTAAATGTTATTTCTCTTTGGACTTAATTTATATGAACAAATTGCCGTGAAAATGAAGCTCCAAGCGATTCGTGCTCATCCCACACTTTCTAATTATAATCCTTCCAAAGATGGAAGCTAGGGAAGTCAATTATACTATGATATTAAGATCAAATACAGCATACGACCCACAATTCGATTCTAAAAGATTTCAAAACCAGTTTTGTGATTTTAAACGGTCTTTGAGAGCAGAAAAAAGTGCGTGATGAAGGAAACGTCAACAAATTTAGAGAGGTAAGAGCTGCATCAGAATCATCAAATTTTCGGATCTTGTATAGTCTCGAGTCATTGTAGAATCATCTCTCTTTCTCTCTTAAAATTCCGTAAAACTTCAAAGGCTTCAGGCTTTCTTTTAGGCTAAGAAAATTTAAAGCATCTTGGAACAATTGTATCCCATGTCAATATTATATGTGCACTACATTGCACACTAATTTAAGACTGAGAATCAGCTCAATGAATCTCATTAAAATGTGGTCCTGTTTTAAATAAATAACATTTAATTTGCTTTACGGAAATCCACCCGGGTACGCTAAATCCCTTTCTTCCTGCTTTTCTGAGCCGACCCTTCCCCCGCTAACACTATTTCAGGTTCCTCTCTCAGAGTTGGACGAGCCGATTCAATTAAGAATGTTAAGGGGTTCATCCATCACAGCACTGCCAGACTGAAAGAGGGAAGGAAATCAATTTGATGTCCAAAAGAACAAAGAAAATTAAATCGAAGCAAGCGGGATCTCTATCCGCTATTATACTCTTGTTAAAAAAGGCCAACACATGTTGTCACGTCAGACTTTTGTCGATAATGTGATCGTGACTTTTGGTTGGCATGCTTTTACTGATTATCGCGCATCCAAAGAATAGCAGTGTCAGGGATGTGCATTATGAAGGGAAGTGGAAATGAGGGTTAGCATAGGTTAACTTAAATGGCTCAGATCCACGTGGAAACTCCATTACCTCGTTAAAAACACAGACTGGTAGTTTCTGACAGTCAACATGAAAAATAGAAAAAAGTAAACAAAATTTAGTGCATTCCACACCTCGTGAAAAAAAGCCTTATGAGTAAGACGCATTTTGGGGTCCTCGAACCCTCTTTAGTTGCGCATGCGCACTCCAACAGCCTTTAGCGATGATCGCAAAACACATTCAGCACACAAAGAATGGACCACTAGACAAGGTACGAATTTCAGTAATCTGATACATATGTCTTAACCAGAATTTTACGTAGAACACGATTCACACAACGAAAATTACTGAAACCAACTCCTAACGAAGATATGAACGTTTTTATTTTACATTGGTTACGAGGAATTTGAACTGCCCGCTCACAAGAAACTCAAAGCTCTACGTGAGTCAAATCGCGCTTTACAACGGTTTCGGCAATCTTCTCTATCGAGCAATGTTCATTTTCCACCATGTATTTTTCAAACTATAAGCAATTTGCTATAGCTGAGCCAAAGCGTCAAGATTGAGGTTGCCAGATTTTTATATCGCAGAGACTCATGATAAACGTTTAGCGCGCGATGTGAATCACGTAGAGCATTGAGTTTTCATGAGCGGGTGGTTTGAATTCATACGCATCAAGAATTATTGAATATCTTCGTAAGGAGTTAATTTCGGTAATTTTTGCTGTGCGCATCGTGTTCTACGTAAAATTTTAGTTACGAAACATGTATCAGAATGCTGAAATTTGTACCTTGTCTAGTGGTCCATTTTTCTGTGAGGTGCTGAGTTGATTAGTTGTTAAGGTTTGTTGTTCCATTGCCTCATCTTCGGTAATGGTGCAATCTTATTCAACTTGAAGTGAGAAAAGAGGGAAATTCTAAAAGGAGTTATTTCTCTTTGTTTCAGGTCGCCCTCCCGACTTCCTAGCTAGTATAATAACAGTCTTGATGACAATTTTAATAGCCGCTGGTGTAAAAAAATCACTAGTTTTTAATAATGTTCTAAATGCAATCAATTTAGCCGCGTGGGTCTTCATAATGAGCGCAGGCCTCTTTTACGTCAATACGGACAACTGGTCCCAGCACAAAGGATTCCTTCCCTACGGTTGGTCCGGGGTGAGTTTTATTTTTCCTTTCCTCTCAGTGTCAAAGACATTCTATCAGCCAGTGGCGAGATTGCAAGTCAGCAACACAGTTTTCCCTCCATTTAAATCCATTAAAAATATCGATTTTAGGCGAGGCAAGCTGCTCCACCATGAATCGATTGTTTTACGTACATTTAAATAAACGGGTAAATTGTGTTGCCAACTTTCAGGAATCGCCACTGCAATCAGTGCATGTTTTCATTCATGATTTTAGTGTGCGTGACTATTCCGAGGCACAAAAATGTTTATGTCATTTGAAATTAAAATCTTCAACTGATAAAGAGAAGAAAGTTTTTTTCTCTCAACGTATCCACCGCTGCTGAGCGCATTGATATTCGCGCCTGGATGCAACTATTCGACTTTAAGTGATGCGCGGGTTGCGTACAAAAGTATATGAAGGCGTTTGAGAATTTCGGACTTTGGAGAGATGAAAATCGCGCTTCCGTTATAAGTGAATATTACTCGAATAAACGTGGGACGTTAATTGAAGGAGTAAGAGAGGCAAGCCGGGTTTGACACCCTTTTGCATTTTATGATTGCAGTTTCGATGGGGTCTTGATTATTCGCAGTACAGCCATCCGCCATTCGATTTATCTTGGATCCATCATTGCTAAGGAAGTTTTTCTGACATAATATGAGGATTGAAATGAAGTTAATAAAGCGCAAGAAATTTGCTTTTAAGTTTGAATATATCTTAAAATAGTTTACGGGCAATCGCCAACAAAATAAAGGACCTTAATCTGCAAAGGTGAAATTTTCAGTTTATCGGGATTTTGTCGAGTTCGGTCGAAAACGTTGCAACCTCCCCATTACCCCCTAGTACCCCTCACATTTTATTTTTGAGAGGGAAAGTCAAACGTTATTATTTTGAGAAATTGCTGCTTTTGGATATTCTTCACGTGTTCAAAAATATGTTAATAATTCATGCACAGATAATTGTTGGTTTTTATTTTAACATAAAGTAAGAGTGAGATGCGCCTTTTGCTCGCATGACTATGGAAATTACATTTTTTCATCTATCTATGCTTGCTAAAATGTGGTTAAAACAGGTTTAAATTTTTCGCGCTAATTTTAGCAATAGAAAAGGTCAGAGCTATTGCGAGAGAATATGGGTGGAAGGAAAGTCAAACAGCTAGAACATCAAAACCTTCAGCTTTTTGCAAAACCGAGACAATCGTTGATAAAAAAAAAAGAAGAATAAGAAGGAGACGAGGAAAAAACTTATTGCCGATTTGCTCTATCTATGAAAGTTCCAATCCGAGATCCAAAAATAGGACTAGCTCAAAGCTTTGAAATCGAACCTGTGGCGTGAAATATTGGATACGGAAAAAGTTGAATATCTCGATAACTCGTGGGCCAAATTACAAAACTTTTGCGACTTTTAAAGCTGAAAATAGAATCACCGGAACACTCTTCACCATTCCGCAATATCTGCAGAAGTTGCGAAGAAAAAATAAAGAAATACTTGCGGAGACTTACTTATATACTATGCAAACCTCGTAGGTATTTGCGCTGGGCCCGGCCAAGAGTAGGAAAGGGAAATACTTGACTAGTTTTCCGAAAGTTGCCTTTATCAAAGTAAAGCTACGGAGGCACTTTCAGGTCAACAAAGGCTCTTTGACCAGAACCCGAGAGAAGAACACCCTGAGGGTAGGTTCTCTCTCATCAGCTTAAATAATTCCCGAAGTTCTATCACCGGCTCAAACTGCTCAAAAGCCACCTGCCGGCCGATTATTGAAATTGATAGACAAAGCTATAGACAAAGAAGACAAAAGGGGTATGGAGGGATACTATTGGTGGAAGTGGGTGGTTGCAATGGACAAAGGCGGTAGGTAATGGACTAATAAAGGCAACTTACGAGAGACCCTTTATACTTAGTCTATAATTATCTCCCTTAGTCTATAGGAGCCAACCATTTCAATCAACAGGATCGCTCCATCCTTCCTATGTCTTCTTTGTCTATCGCTTTGTCTATAGCTTTGTCTATCAAATTTAACAATCAGCCCGCTGGTAGCATTGAGTTTCTACGTGGACAGATGTGTTTTCAATTTGCACAGAGGCACCCAAAGGAATAACAGCCTTTCGTCGGTCTTGGTAACAATGTGACGACAAAACCACTTACAGCGTTTTAAGCTGATGCACTTTTCCTATCCTATAGATCGTTTTCGATACATCAAATAGGTGAGATTGTATCGATATCGATTGGTTCAACATGTAAACATAGCCTCAAAAGTCAATCGAGTAATCTGAGGAAACGGGGTTTTTCTGATAGATTTTTTTATTCATATAAGTACTATTAGGAATTTTCTCATTTTCAGCTTTTCCGACTGAAATCCTGAAAGTTTTGTTTGAGGTTATGTTCTATTGTTTGGAACCAAACGATACATCGAAACACTATCAAAAACGATCTATTATACATTTTTGAAGGACGAGTGATCACACGGTCCTGAAACTTTTAGGCCATGTCAAACTGTTTGAAGGAGCTTCAATGATTTCCATATGCTTCTTCAGCGTTTTTAGGGGAAATTTCGAAAACTTTTATCACGTATAGACTTTCCATGAATTCAACGTTTTTCTTTTTTAAGGGGAAAATGGTTTCCAAATAAAAACCAAATTCCCTTTTATTCATGGACATTCAAAAACCGCATTCAATTAAATACATCTCCACTGATGTACTGGGTGTACCAAAAGACCAAAACCAAAAGATGGTGATTTCTTTTGGGTTTAACCAAAAAATGTCAAGAATAACTTTTCAATATTTGAAAACAAGTTTTTCTCATTTTAATAGACAACGAGACATACCCAAGAGAAAATAGTCCATTTTTTGTCATAATCCCTGACAAATTGCTTCATAAAGTGTTCCTTCCCCAGGTTTCCTTTTCAGGGACCTACAATCCATTTGAAAAGATAAAAAAAAGTTTCTAAAATAAAATTCCGTTTGATTTTCTTTTCCTCCTTCTTTGTTAAAAATGTACTCCGAAACCCTGGTAAAAATTGGTAGTAGAATCTGTGTTCCAAAATACCATAGACCTAAAGCCGGCTGTAAGATTTCCAATAGCTCCTATAACCGGCTACACAATTTCTTATAGCCTTTTATAGCCGATGGTAGCCGAAGTGTATGCTAAACGTTACTAATTATACGGATGCTAGGACTTAGTGAGTTTTTGGACCACTGCTCTCTTTTTGGGCCGTAGTATCTTGATTTATTTTGCGAGGAAAGCTCCGTACTTTTGATGGATGCCTGCCATTACTAATATATTAGAGCGCCTTCAGTTTCGTATGATACTGTGCAATATCTCTGGTGTGAAATAGTTGCTTCAAGCGCCGTGGCAGGCGGGCAGCCAGCGCGAAACGAGCATTGGCGCCTACAAACCTAACAGGGATACTTCACGCGTTGCGCAATGCGTGAAGTATCCCTGTTAGGTTTGTAGGCGCCAGTGCGTCGCCGCTTCGCTTCGTGTTAGGCTCTAATATTTAATCTGGCGGAGTCAGCGTCATTCAACTCATGATTTTGAACTGTTTGCACATCCTGTATGGATTATTCTCATTTTAATTTATGAAAAAAAAAATATGTATTAAAGGAAAATATAACGTGTGTTTTGTAAATATTAAGGTGGTTCCGTATCAAACTTAATGATTTCCAAAGGACACGAATTTCTACACAACTTCTTATAGCCCTTTATAATCGATGGCGAAAAAGCAACAACCAGGCGATAAAGTGTAAAGCCCGGCGATAGGAACTATAGCCCGGCTGCATAATTTTTTACCGCTTCGTATGGCCCGGCCGTATGATTTTCTCCGCATTCTACAGCCAGCTATATGATTTTCTGTAGCCTTCTTTAGCCGGCTATAAGAATTCTTATGGTATTTTGAAACGCAGCTCCTGTCGCCAATTTTTACCAGGGAAGTCTCACGCAAAATGTCTAGATAGTGCTCTGTTAAGATTATAAAGTAAGGGCAGAAATTTCGAGGCATTAAAATCAAGGCCCGAGTTTTCGTGGTTTCACCGCCGATATGTGATAAATCCCCGGAGGAAAAATGAGAATCAGATTCCCACGACTAGCCCAAGTGTGAGCGCAAATAAAACTTTACGGTAGAGATTGTTTGAGGAGGTTTTAATGCCATCTGCAAACACCCGAGCTGTAACCGAAAAGTTTTAACTTGCCCACGACACCTCTCATTCGCCGGCCTCTGGCTGGCGCAGCTTTGGTGACGCCACGTTGTCAAAAGTTTACCTAAATATTAAATTTCCGCTATCGCATATGATACGTTTCCGTATCGTCTTTTAGTGTTATTCGTTTGTTTTTCATCACACTCTATGTTTCCGGGGGTTTCATCGAAAACTGATGAATTCCAATGATTGAAAAGGTCCATTTGATTCAAGGGGAGTGAATAGATACTCGTACCTATATCAAATTAATGCAACTAGTGGGAAAGATCTGTCATTAATGTTCTTTCGCGCCTCAAAAAATCCTGCTCTCATTTCGTCATCTTCCGGCCAAAGCATCACAAGCGCCATGCGACGTTTCAAAATTTCCGCCGTCATTTTATTGTTCTACGCAGAAATTGTTCAGCGATGCTGTCCGAAAATTTCACTGAATTTTCTTAGTGCTGCCGAGAACTTTCAGTGAAATTTTCAAACAGATTCAACCAGCAACTTCTCTGTAAAACAATAAAATGGCGGCGGAAATTTTTAAAAGTCGTAAGGCGTTTGCGATACTTTGGCCGGAAGGTGACGATTTGAGTGTTGCATATTTGTTTTTTTATCACATTCGATGTTGGAGAGTTTCATCGAAACCTGTTGAATTCCAATAATTAAAAATATCCATTTGACTCACGGGAGTGGATAAATATTTCAAATCACTGTACCTAGTGGGAAAGACCTGTCATTAATGTTCTTTCGCGCCTCAAAAAATCCTGTTCTCATTCATCGATTGGATGGAATACCGTTGATTGAAGTTCCTGAGGTTA